GATCTAAAATTTATTTAAAAAAAATCCTATCAACAATAAAACGTCTGAATGATATAACTTTGAAAAAGGTATTTGATGAGTTACAATAACAACAATAGTGATAGGAATAAATTGAGATGATTGAAAACAAAAATAATACTGATAAATTTTGAACATGTTTCAATTGAAACATTTTAAATCCATTTAGCTATTCTAGAAGTAGTTTTTCGTACTCTTTTCCAAACTTATGCTCTTTCAGACTGTTTTTATATCTACTGAAAGCAAATTGAAAAGCTTGGGTCCATTGTAAAAATCTGTGTTTTGGGTTAGAGCTATCTCAAAAATATTCAAATGTATATTCAAGTCAGAGGCCGATCATCTATTGGAAGTTATTTCTCGTTATTTGTTATTTTTCTTACTTATCATCGTTCTTAATGTGGTCTTGCTCATTTTATGGTGTCTATACCGGTAAATGTTCGTTGCAAATCGAATGTAAAAATATGTTAATTGGGTCATTTTTAAGGTTGTAGATGATTTTGGAATAAATGCTGTCGTCTTCTCAAAGTCTAAAAATCAGTTTGACCCACACAACCCAAGCCCTGAGATGAGTTTCATTACAAGCCATTGGATTGCATTTGGAAATAACATGTTGAGGGTGGTTTCAGCTATCCCTGGAAAGCTATAATTTTCATACTGCCCGCAAAATTTGAGTAAATACATCCAAAAGTTGAAATACCTATGTCGGGAGTTTTGAGAAAAATTATTCAGTTTCCCGCTAGTGAATTTATTCAAGTTTAAGTCTTCACTCTGTGTGAGCAAGGAGTGTTGAGGATAGTTTCTCAGAGTGAAAGAGGTTATTTCATGATGGAATCGATTTCCATCCTAGAAAGATGGGTCATATAAAATGCTTGAAGAACATTTCCCATGTATCCAGAAGTTTCATAACAAGCAAGCAAAAACCTTGGGATTCCATTTCAAACACAATAAGGGTTGATACCCAGTGGGTGTTTTGATAGGTGGTTGATTCGGACTCATTATTTCCAAGAGTATTCAACTCATGCCAACTTTTTGTTTGCGTAAAGTTAATTATATATCAGCTGGTATTAAAGCTTTAAGATACCCGGTATAACGAAAGAATCTCCCACGGCAATTACCGCCATCCTTGCTAAACACCCTCAATGTCCTTAATAGGGGGAATCCGAACAAAACGAGGTTCAACTTTTTCCCACGCTAACCGACTTTATCTTTCTCAAATTGTTTCTTGTACCGGATCCGGCTTTTTGCCGTACGTCCTGGAAAAAATCTCGACAGCGAGAATCCCGAAAGATAAGGGCCATGAAAAAGATATAGGTTTTTCAACGCAACTGGAAATTAAAAAGGACTACGAGTGGATACCATCGGTGGAAGGTTAGGTAGAAGAGAAACTCTCAGAAACTCGCAGCAGCTTTCAGACAACAGAGAGGGATTGACTGTAAACAATTCAGGATATTTGTATATTTAAACTCCAAAATACGTCTTATGAACAGGTTTTCAACACGCTTATGAACTACGCCTGTTGAAATATGAATATTTTTTTTCCTTTGAACAATTTGAATTCGGATTACACTGTTCGCTAGCATAGTCCTTCAGCTATAATCTCGTACTTCTTCAAAGCCTGAGGTTCTTCATACAAAATTGCTACAATCTGTCACCTGAAACTGTGAAAAATGTTGGAATTTTCAAAAGGATCCCAAATGAACACAAACTTTTTTTTCCAACTTCGGCAGCAGAGGCATGAAGATGATCTCATCACCTAGAGACATTTTTCAAATTGTGTTCTTATCTCTTTCATTCACAGAGTGATCTCAAAAAATTAACTGTCTGGTTCCCCAGTCATAACTTTTTTTCCTTGTCAACCCGTTTTTGAAATCTCATCTTGGAGCTGAAACTTCAGATGAATAAGGTATATGAAGATCAGAATCGACTCAAGATGAACATTATACAGTCTACGAACGTGATTCTGAAATTTCGCACACCTATCAATATCCGAGGACAATAGCATAATTTGTTAGTTTTGTCCCATCATCCTGATCAGGCACTTCAGGATGAGCGTTTTTTTTTTCGAATAAAGTGGCAAAGTATGTTCCGCCACCAAAAATTAGAAATGTTCCTTCACCAAAGATTATAATATTCGTTTATCTTTCGAATAAGTTTACAATGCTTTTTTTATATCCAAGGACACGGCAGTGTCCTGCGCCAAGTACTCATATGAAATGAAGTTTCCGAAGAGGGAGCCTGATGAACTGTTACATAATCCAAAAACACGCTTTTGTGGTTGGTCGAACTGAAACATAGAAAATAAATAGTAGTTCAAAAAGTAAAGAAACACGCTTTTGTAGATGACCAAACTAAAAAGAAGTAGGAAATAAAATATTAAAAGTGTGTTGATAAATATACAACATAAAAAATATGAGCACCTCCGTAATAAGTATATTCTATGTTGTGTATTCATCAATCAACACATTTCAATTATTTTATATTCCACTTTTTTTAGTTTGGCTATCTGTACGATAGCGTGTTTCTTAAGTTTCTCAAACTACTTTCATTTGTTCCTTTGACTTCTATATATATAATATTATGATATAATATCATGGAAACATTTCAGTCATGACATTTTTTGAACGGATGAATATGGTTGAAAAGGAATATTCTCAGATAAATTATGAACATACAAAAATGGATATATATTTATATACAGCAATACAACGAGAATTCGTATTCTCTATGAATATTGATTGCACAGAATTTTGAGAAGAAAATACTGAGAATATATTTGCTCACAAATTGTTGTTTGTTTGAATTAACCTTTAGTTGAGAAATTTTACCATATTGCTATTGATGGTTTTCATTTGCCAGACACTGCACTGTACGAGAAATTTTTTTTAGCAACTTAATTTTCTTATTCGGTTGCCCCAAAATATGAAGAAGCATGTTCGCCAGAATCCACAGCCACAAACGTCGAAAGTTTCTAAAGTTTCGCTCCATGTTTTTGGAATAAAAAAGAGAAAGAAAGGCTAACTAACCATATCTTCGAAAAAAACACCAATCACTACAAGCGTACAAACTACTATGTTAGGAAGCGTATTGAGATTCGAATTCAGTAAAGAACAATAGCAATCCGTGGCCGGTCTTCCTACTCTGCCGTTCCGGTCATGAATACCCTTTGGTTCTCATTCCATACCGACCACGTTCAGCCCAAGTGATATTCCTCGAAATATCAGATGTGTTCCTTTCAATAACCTAGTCTAAACAATCATATTAGTGATCTCCAACAGCAACAACATCATCGCATAAACAGTTCACATTTACTCGAATTGAAATCTGACTGCGTCGACATCATGTATAATACACGGGAAAAATACTAGACTTCAGGTAGCTAGTACTTTTCTCTTTTAACAACTATTTTTCCAAGTAGAAATTGGTATTTGCATGGTCCCACCACTGTTGGTAGCCCTTAAAACAATAGACAGCCGTAATAAAAGTAACTCGACACTTGTTCGCAGAAACATGTTGACAGCCATTTCAGGCTGGGATGCACACGAATGGAACATATTTTGTTACATCTCGACGCAAACAAAAGCTAGAGAGGGTTCATGTTGAATGGTGTGTTGTGTGCTTATCCAATTTAATGTGTATCATCAGCACATTTGGGTCTGGCTCACTTTGGAAATAATATATCCCGAGCCGAAAGTTTTGAGGTCGACTCTTTCATTCCAGGTCCACAAATGACGTCGCCTACCTTCAGGTTTCAGGTTCACAATGGGGTGTTTACCTTACTTTCAAATTATACCCCATTACATCAACATCATCATATACAGGGTAGCTTATCGAAAACTTGACAGGTCGATTTCAATTTGAAGGGGGACACATATTTCTATCATTGTCATATCCCAAAGTTGATGACGAGTCCTATAATACGAAGTTTGATGGGGTAATCTTTACGGAAATATAGCTGATTTGGAGTTGCTTCTTGAATGTGCGGGACGCAGAGGTCTGTAAGAACTGTTAACTCCGCCGAAGTGTTTTTGAAATAAAAGTTTTCTGTTTTTCCTTAAGACAGATCTGGATTCTAATATCGATTTTCATTTAATTTTGATGTGTAATGAAAGTGGAATATTACTACCAAGATTCAATAGATTATACAAAGTTGTTCAAACATTATGACCAGATGTAGATTTCGACAAAATCAAGATAACGTCCTGTATCTCAGTTATAAAAAACAATAGACACATCCATGGGGGTGATTTAAAACCGCATCAGAGGGTCCTATCTGCAAGTATCGTATGTACATTTGAGTCTGAAACACCTTGTATATCACTAACCGATTATGGAATGGAATACAGGGTGTTCCATTTCAAAATCAAAAGTTGATTCCCCTTCTCCTTCATTGTTTCAACTTTGAAATAGGATCATAATAAAACAATGTTTCCCCAGTCAGAATAAAATTGACCTTTATCAGCGTTCTTCCACATCTACTATATTATTACCCGTCAAGTTTTTGATGAGCCACCTTACTTCAAATACTTCAAAAGTGGTCTGCTTTTTGTTTGTTTTCAGTAATTGAGGTTTTTTTTACTGGTGAGTGCTCAAAAAACGAGGTGGAAATAATTGATATCAACTTATAGATGTTTTTTCGAGTTGTTAATCGATGAGTTCATGATGTAGGGTCTGAAAATTTGAGAAGGGATCATATACTTTGATCCAAAACATGACGCTAAGTTTGATTATTCACAATTTTGTTTTTTCCTGAATAATGACCAGGCCGTCAACTTTTCTGGAAACTGAACCTCAGGTTGAAATTCCGAAATATGAATCCACGACTAGGTTAAAATTCCACCAAATTCGGAAAAGAATCAAAAGGGTTAAAGGTTGATCATTTTCGCAATTTGTTTTGCTGGCACGTTTTTTTTGCTGGTGACTGTACATGATTTCTACAGAATAACCTAACTGTTATCGAGTTGAATTATTTTTGTTATTTTCAGGATGCTGTTTCGTCACCTTCTTCACCAGGAAATCCGCCCTGCAGGCTCAGGACGCTTTACACAACGTGAAGACTTTGAATGGGGTGAGTTTTCACCATATATTATTATCATTCTGAGTGTATTCATTTGGCATATTATATTAGTATAATATCTAGTTCAGCATCATTATGTTCTTGTCCCTCACAAGGTCACTTCGTATTGTACATCTCTCACAAGGTTAAATATTGAAGATATATGCAAAAAATATCTTCGAATGATACGAAACTTATATATCATTTGTTCTGAACCACTAGAAAACGAATATTACAAATTATTTTTTTGTCGACTTCATATATGTTTAGATTGTTGATATTCGATTCAGTCATTTTCCTGATATACAAAAGTGGTCCAATAGATTTTTAGAAAAAGTCCGAAAGTCTGTCGACCACGAAAAAATTGTTTAATAAGTAGTGTACCGAGTTTCGGCCCCAGGCTATCATCAGACAATAAAATGATGTATTCGGACGTACTTCAAAGATAATTATGGACATTGTTGAGGAGTCTCCTTAACTTCCTAGAGGTTTCTGGAACTATCTAGACGGAAAATATAGTTTTGAATAAGGGCTTAAATGCACTTCATGGGTCATTTACTAGGGAAAAACGGCCCATCTCTCGAAACTGAGACACACTTGGCTTATCTGATGATTGAAAAGTATGTACATGTGCCTTTTATATACTTTAGTATTCAGCATTTGCGTTCTTTTGTCCTTATTAGTATAACTTACACGTCTGATTTATCATCAAACTAGAATGAACATGCTGATTCAGCTGTTTTAGTTCAATAGTTGATCATCAACTATATGCTCTGTGAAAAGAGTTATTAAAATGATTGCCGCAATGCACAGGGCGATTGTGCACATAGGTATTTATGTGGTATTCATTTGTTGAGCTGTTAGATTGGCATATAACTAAGGCGAAAGGGCTTATCTGCAATTTGGAATAATAAAATTCAAAATATCATTATTGCGACTAAATTTTCTAAAAATATACAAACATTCAGGCTATACAGGGTGTTTCATTCCTAATTGGAAATATTTTTATCATTGAATCCCGAACTCAAAATATGAAGATTTAACGCGAATCACCTAAATAAAATATGTCTCCTGTCTGAGTTACAGGGTGTTTTATTCAAAAATTTTGAAATGTTTTCTGCCCAGTTCTTCAAAACTATTTGACGTATCACTTTCATATTTGGAGGGAAGTGTAGGTATCATACATTCAACTGAATTATGTGAAATGAACTTTTCTAGCTATCACCAGAGGCGTACGACAGGGGCAAGTGACTGGTTGATCCTTCCCAAATTCTATGCCACTGGCGGAATTGCAATTTTATCAATTTTTTGATTCTTCAATACCTTCTTCGTAAATATTGTACTCCTTCTTCATAGCGATAAAGTCATTATTTTTCGAGATATTTCAAGTTAGTTAGAAGCAGCACAATTATTTTGATTTTAATGTGTATCAATAATGTCGATATTTTGGATCAATGGACTGCATTCATCAATCAAATGAAACTTCAATCCATATAAACATTAAAACCTAACAGACGGGAGCTGTTACAGGGCGTTTTAAATTTTTTATATATTACATAATTAAACACCCTGTAACAGCTCCTGTCTGTTATGTAATTATGTTCTTATTGTTAATATGGATTGAAGTTTCATTTCATTGATGAATTCAATCCATTGTTCCAAAATATTGACAAAATCAATGCACATTGAAATCAAAATAATTGTGTGGAGAATCGAAAATTTGTGATAAAATTGCAATTCCGCCAGTGGCGTAGAATTTGGTAAGGATCAACCAGCTAATTACCCCTGTCGTACGCCTCTGGTAATAGCTAGAAAAGTTCATTTCACATATTTCAGTTGGGTGTATAATACCTACACTTCCCTCCAAATATGAAAGTGATACGTCAAATAGTTTTGAAGAACTGGGCAAAAAACATTTCAAAATTTTTGAATAAAACAACCTGTAACTCAGACAGGAGACATATTTTATCTAGGTGATTTGGGTTGAATCTTCATATTTTAAGTTCGGGATTCTATGGTTGAAATATTTCCAATTAGTAATGAAACACCCTGTATATGTTTTTTTCGCACCTCGATAGGAATGATTACTATGGAAATGGAATATACGAAATGTTGTTTTGTGGAAATCGTCCTTTGAGGAATCAGCCCTTCGTGCTTATGACGACAGTGTTGACGATACCATCTTCTATTCACAAGCTTCTCAGTGCACCCGTGCACTGTTAACATCCCTTCCATTATTTTCCACGAGATTTTCCACATTTTCCACATTTTCGTGTCGACCGGCTCAGAGCTCAGGATGGCACGACACGACAGACGTATACAGATCGTATACCATGCCAACCAGATATTAGACGACGAATTCCCATTTGCAAAGCGGGATTATGCAGGTGTACTGCCCGAATGGCACGTCGTAAATCTCTTCTGTGTATGTGTAGATGGCGCTTTTTTCCATTTCGAGAGCCTCGCGCCAGACTGGGGAGTTCAGGTTATTAATTTTCTCTCGACGGATCTGTTATAATATGATGCTACGCGAGTTTTTACGGTTCGTGGACCGTGAAGAATCATTATTGCGGCGATGAAAGATAAATAGTGGATAATTCTGGAGGATCCAATTATTTGTATGAATTATATCGACTCCAGCCACATCAGCGAGATTACTATGCTATACAATTATCACACTCATTGGAGTTTTCAAGTTAGATTAAGGTATTTTTTTCAATAAGGAAATCATCGTTGAAATATCTAACAGAAACGAATTACTTTCCTGGCAAGTACCACAGAACAACCTCTATATCTTTTATCAGGTATCGTATAACTGCATGGGGGGGGGAATGTCTAATAGTAACCTAGGGTATATAAAAATAGTTCAAAATAGTATCTTGGAGATAATACTAAAAAAAAAGTTATTTTCTACTAAAAAACTCTACGAAGAATCTAATCTACTCGATGTAAGAAACCTTTATACCTAATCATGCCTGATCTGGATACTTTTCCATAAAAATGAATATGCCACACCAAACCAAAGGAACACCAGATCATGTGAAAATATGTCTGTGAAATTGCCATTGTTTAAGAAGAGTCATTCTCTCAAAAGATTCGTACAATTCCATGGTCCAAAACATTATAACTATCTGCCACTATGTAGAATAAAAAAAAATTGAAAAACTAAACAAATTCAAATATTCCATAAAAAAAATCATACTCCCCAACAAAGACAAAATTGAAAATCTCTTTTGAAAGTACCAGAAACACTGATATCCAACCTGACGATTTTCAGCTTCAATTCAATATTCCATATTGCACTCACAACCCCCTCAAGTGCTTAGGTGTAGCAGGCTACTCAAATTGGGTTAAAAAGTTATATATTCAATAATACTCATTTAATATCACTATGATTATTTCCACAATGTTGTACATTGCCTGCAATAAATTGAATTGAATTGAATATCCTCAGTCACTGATCTCCCCCCAGGAAATCATCAATGAATTCGCCGATTACTTCAGTATATCATAAATTTCATCAACCGATGATATTCAAGATGATGATGAGATGTATCATATTTCTATCAACATAACAAAATTTTAGCAAACCGATGTCCTATGATAGACGAAGCAAATGAGGCCTAAGAAACCGACAGGTCCTGATGAGATAGTTACCAGCATTTGTCGTTAGAGACTTTGCGCAAGTTCTGGCATATCCACTAACCATCTTGTGTCAATTTCTCCTTCTGAGAAATGCCAAGATATGCCCCGTTTGTGAAAAGGGGAAAAAAGCAGATATAACTAATTTCACAACTTTTGAAAAGGAGGATAGGGAGAGGAGGTATCCTTTCATAAGCAATAAACTGACTCCATATCAACATGAGTTTAAGGATGGTAGAATAACCATCACTGATCTGATCAATATCTCAAAACATGAATATTGCTGAAACAATTGATAATCGCAGTCAGACTGATGTTATATCCTTATACTTTTCAAAGGCATTCGATAGACTTGACCACGGAATACTATCGATAATATTATTTCGATTCGGGCTTTGAGATTTTCTTTCGGCCTTATTATCTTCATATCTACATGACAGAAAATAATGTCTTTATCAATAGCTTCAAGTCTATCGATTATTTTGCATCTTCTGTTGTACGTTGTACCCCAAGGGTCTAATTAAGGCCCACTGCTTTTCAATATACTCATAAATGATATTGTTGATGTTATCGATGGGAACTGTCTGCTTCACGCTGACAATATGAAAATATATTGGAATATAAATGTTTTGGGTGGTTGTGAACGTATTTCTTGTAGTCTGGACAAAATTCAGAATTTATTTGTCAGGTCCAATTGTTTTGAGAATTTTCGAAGGCGAATGAATACCCTCGGAAAGCGCAACTTCTTTCCTGTTCAATCGAATCCATATCTTCTTCCGTTTCCGAGATCCCCATACTGTGCAACCTTATCTTGGTCATTTTTTGAATTGACTCGGCCGTTACAGTGGTCACACTGTATGATTGACAATTTGTCGGCTCATTTCTCTGATTTTTTTTTTTAGTTTTTTTATTCTAATATCCGAACAATACATACATTCGCGTCACATGAAGGGAACTGAGCCCGTCCGGGACCTGCTTTCATTGGAGACTATATTTTTTCTCCCTCCCACCCGTACCCCTCTTCGTAATAAACAAACTCCGATTTTCCATCCCCTCGACTTTCCAGCCTATATATATTGCCATTCAACATTCCGTAAAGGGCATTTAATCCGTACTCTGCGTGCTCACGCATACCCATAAATTTTCTTGTATCTTCCTTCTAAAAAACACGAGCTTTTCATTGCGGGTCGCTAAGCTTCCCCCCTAAATCATGGAAGCAACAACAGACGCGCCCTCGGATCCGAAAAAGTGAAAAAGGTTGATACAGTCTGAACGACGAATAACTCGAACAAACATAAAATTCGGGGAAGGGAAAATAATATTTATGGGTTCGAAAATGTTTTTGATGGATGGTCATAATCATCCCATGA